GGCGATGCCGGCGGTTCTTCGATGGTAGGCTGTCTTGATGCTATTCGACTCACACTGCGCAGGTCCAAATCATCAATCTCAGATTCCTACAAAAAATAATACCGCATTACTAATCAATAGTTTGATGTGTTGTGTCATTTGCAAAATATGAGAATATATTATTGATTGAATAAAATTTTCAAAAAAATCGTGTTTTCCATAAGAACCCTGGACGTCCATACCGTAGCACTTGGCGGTGGGCTGCTACTGCTACGATGCTTTGATGCTAATCGCTCCTCCTGCTCTTCTTGATACTTCTGGAGGAGACGCTTCTTATATTGTCCTGTAGAGGAAAGACGCCTGGATGTTGCTGCAGGAACCTACAAGTGTCACAAATAAGGCTAACTTCAATATTGCCTAGCTACAGTATACTATAGTATTCGTACTGAGATTGTTGATTGAAGCGATGTGTCCATACGCTCTTCCTTAGGCGACATATCACTATCAGATCGGCTTCGTTCTCTTAAACAAAAAGCTTATAAGTTTTGATAAAAATTGATTTATCGATTTTTTGAATACCTCGATTCAGGATCCAACGTATGCGATTCGGGGACCATAAGATTATGCGTTCGATTTGACATCGAACTGCTGCTTCGTATTTGATCAAAACTAAAAAAATGCAGATTGAATCAATTTCTATGGGTATGTAAAATTTGGAACCAACCTAAAATGATTAAAACTCCGCGTAAGCGGGTTTGGGGATAGATTTGGTGAACGAGCATAGATGGAGTACGGTGTTTCGGTATCTTCACAATCCGAGAAAGGAGAATATGGCGCTGGTGACAACATCATACCCGGAGATAACAGATCTTTGCTGCACACGTCTGATGCACCATCATCGAGATCAAAGCTGAATTGCGAATTAGTTGAATGAGACATTTTTAATTAACGTGAAATTACGAGAGAAAATAGTCATCAAGTCTTGGTTCCTCGGATTCTATAGTTTTTCAATAAATTTCGAGAAACTCCCTTGTTTTGAAAACACATGTTTATTATTGCACATTGGATGTACCGCCTAATCTTAAACAGTGATAGGTGCATCGATCTTAGTCTTATGTGGTAATTAGAGATTGTCCAAAGGATTGCCT